TTCCTGTGAAAACTTCCTTCCAGGCTTTCCGTTCCCTGGCATCCTCATCTATGAACAACGTGTATAAGTTGTCGGTAGCGGACCCCATCATCTCCTTGAATGTACTAACCACCCAACGCACGCTAACGGAGTCGTCCACGGTTGCAAATGCATTGAATACTGGTAACTGAACATGCCCGTACATGTCAGTTACCACTATGTGATACAGTGCACATGCCTGCCTATTCGTCCGGTATGTGGCGTCCATTTGTACCACATCCGAATACTCTGAGTACATCGTCCTCAGAGCCGGGGTCGTAAAAGAGGTGACACGCAATTTTCGATCGTCATAGAAGAACTCCGGTTAGCAGCCACCCCCATGTAATATAGTCCGCTCATCATACAGTTTACTGTCGCATCACAACGAAAAACACGGCGGCGCATGTAGAATAGGTCCTTCATCTTGTAATTCAGATCATAGAAACCTACCAACAGAAGCGAAGAGACGAGTCCCAGGAAGCAGTCTTGAAGAAGAAGACACGATCGCCGGGACAAGAGCTTTATTAGCCTGACGTGTCGGATTCCTGCTCAAATCCATCATCAGAGACATAAGCAGATAAGGGGTGGTTCATGCACATGCGGCTGCAGTATTTATAGGATGCACTAGCCATGCTACCGCATACCTATGAATATTGACGGCTCCCTCTCCTTCATCAGGGATCGTTGCACGTGGCTTGATGGCCGACATTCGCGTAGTAAATTGCTGTAATTTCATCACGTGCGTTGGATGTTGGTGTGATGATTGCTCGACCATCTGACGCGCTGACCCGGGTGTTGGGAAGAGTGTTCACCAGTGCGCTCCCCGCGTGGCCAATTACTCTGCCTAGACGAAGTCTCAGCACGCTGTAATGAATGGGAAGATCATTTCACTTGTTAAAAGACTGGGTGCCACTAAACCATGACTCAAGCAGCTCCCGGCTCACGCGGTTGTCACCTCTTGCGAGAATTTCGGCCTCGTAAAATTTAAATATGTGACCGGAACCCGTCGAATGAGCTGCAACTTGAGAGCTGGCGTCATTTCTCCGCATCGCTGCAGTGTGTTCGGCCATTCGCGTTCGGAGCTGTCTTCCGGTTTCTCCGACGTAGTTGCTTTGTCCGCAACTGCACCAGATCCGATAAACGACTCCAGACGTTTCTTGCCGTGACAGTGGACCTTTCGGTTTCATGCCCAGACGCCTGATGGTTGGCTCCGATCTGTGTGCCACTCCAACCCCAAGTGGTGCGAGAGGGCGGCCGACAGCTTCCGAAACGTTCTTGACATATGGAAGCGCCCGCCAAACTTTGGTGTCCGTGCGGTTAGGCCTTTCGTCCATTTTGCTTATGCACCGGTTGACAAAGTTGCGCGGGTAGCCAATGGCTTTGAAGACCTGTCAGAGGTATTGTAATTCGGCAATCTTGTCTTCCGGCTCACTGCAGTGCGTTTCGACACGCCGATAGAGCGTCCTTACACAAGTGTGTTTGTGACTGATTGGGTGGTTGCTGTTGAAGTTCAGTATTTGCATCGTATTTGTCGCTTTCCTGAACACTTTGGTCCTTAGTCCACCACAATCCTTGTGGCATACGAGGACATCCAGGAAGACCAGCTGGTTGTTATCTTCCTCCTCCATCGTAAATTGAATGTCCGGGAAGACGGCGTTGAGATGTTCTTGGAATGTCAACACCTGATCCCGTTCGATGACGAAGAAGGTGTCATCAACATACCGGGCCAGAATTTCGGTCTGTGGTGTTGGAAGACCAGCGACTCTAACCGTTGCAGGACCGCCTCGACGATGAATCCCGAAATCGGCGAGCCGATTGGTGTCCCTTCACTTGCTCGTAGATTGTTCCGTCAAACGTGAAGTACGTTCTGAGACAGAACTTCAGGAGCTGAAGGACTTGGGCGCGTCCAAGACGATTCTCCGTTTCATCGTATTCGCTTTGTAGAAGCAGCTCGATTGTCTCGATCGTCAGGTCCTGGGGAATAGAAGTAAAAAGGGATGTAGCATCAAAAGATACCATGACCTCATTTGGATGGAGGCTTACCCCTTTGAGTTTCTCCAGGAATTCTGCTGACGAAGAGACCGTGGTGTCTGACTCAGCGGTCAGGAACTTGAGACGCCGGAACAGCTACTTAGCCAGTCCGTACTTAGGAGTACCCTTGAGCGACACGATGGGTCGGAGAGGAGCGCCGTCTTTATTCACCTTAGGGAGGCCATAGAATCGGGCCAAAGACGCATCTTGAGGTCTCGCCATGCGTCTGTCGGCCTGTGTTATTGCACCTGAGTTCTCCAAGGCCAACAACGTAGCACTAATTGGCGTGTCAGCGCTTTTACAGGGTTCGTTGCACATGGGACATAGAACTGTCGGTCCTCCAGTAAACCTTTGGCTTTTTGCAGGTAGTCTTTCTTGTCCAGCACAACCGTGGAGCGCCCTTGTTCGCTGGCACGATGACCAAGTCTTTGTCGGTCTTGAGTTCTCTAAGCGCATCACGTTCGACCTTGGAAAGCACTTTCCGTGGCCTGTGGGTCATTAGGAGAGACGAAACTTGGTGTCGGATGAGGCTGTTGATCTCCTCCGTTGACTCCGCCTGACTGCGTCTGCGTTTAGAATGAGGGCATGCTGCTTTTCTGGTACATCTTCAGCCGCGCCGCTGAGGGTCGCATCTGCTGCATCATATGTAGCAGACTTTTTCGTCTTGCGTCGCCAATCGCCGGAACTTGGGGTAAGTTTATGCCATTTGCCTACTTCGTAAGTGGTTGTGACGCTGATTAAGCGCCTTCACCCGCAGTTTGCCCTCAGTTACTATGGCGGGATAGTGTGTCGTGCAACCAAAGTTCAGACACCTAATCTGCTTGAAATTCAGCATCAGCTGTTTACGTTGACTTCGTCCGGTATCCGCAGCTGCGAAAAATTCCAGAATGGCAATCTATGATGCATATATATCAAGATTTCAATGTATCAACCAGAGGGTAGCCGGGTGGGATTTGGTCACTCTTTCGTCTACTGAAGCGTGTTTAGGAAACTTGCAAAATAAGAGGACTGTTACTACGGCTTACCTTCTCGTATTCTCGTACTGCGGACATAAGGTCCTCGTAACCATCGTACGATCCATGTTGGAAAATATTTTCAAATAAGGCGCATAGTCTGCGCGTCTGGTCCTGGGCTGTGGGGCATGGTTACGCAAAATTGCGTCTGCTTTCTTGTCGGAGAGGTTGGACGCAATGTCCGAAATTCCGTCAGCCTGGACTCTGCGCTCCTTTGCTTTGAAGGTCGGGGTGCCGCAGGCACGGGCTCGTGTCCACAATTCGGATGGGACCACGTAACCGCGAGGCAGCCCTCCTAACGGTACTGTACGCTGAAGAGTGCATCACAATCGGTATGGCTACACAGTAGCTTTAAAAATAACAAAAGTTTAAGCATTCTGCCGAGTTGAAGCCAAAACGCACACGTATTTCCGTCTGAAGAAAACAAAGTTCTCCGCACTAGGACTGTCAGCAGGAAGCTTATGAGAAGTCACCGGCTTTAAATAGTAACCCGTTTCCTATGCATGATCAAGGCAAAGGAGTTTTCTATTCTCACCTCTGTGAAGCGCAAAATCGCCTCCTCCAAATCATCAAATGATGCGAATTTCCGTCCGTGAAGAAGACGTCGGAAGCTCTCCAACACCGCATCACTAGCCTCCATGGCGTGCCGCAAACTTGAATATTCAAACTCCCGCGCGTCGATTTTTTGACCACTCGCCGAGTGGGACTCAGGTGATCAGTGCACAGTAGCCATAAAATCAACGAACAGTCGCCAATTAATCAGCGCACCCCATTTACGACCAATGCGAACGTCGTGGATGGAGGTGAGCAGCCGCGACGGGGACAGGCAGTTCATGGCGTCTCTAGCGAAGTAAGTGGGAGCGGTTAACGACAACCATTTGCGAGTTGTTTCCACCGCCTATTAGGCGATTGGTCCACTATTTTCCCACGGTACTCAGTTAAAAAACAAAAAGCGGAAACAGAAAAGAGCAGAACCGCGCGGTTTGAATAAATAATTTAACATTCTCCAGCCAAAACCTACAGTTAGGCGTCTCTTAGCTAGCTCAGCAGATATCCTCATCTGTACATGTTGTTACTGCCATATCTAACAAGCTTCCATGCCTACCGTTAGGTGTCCCTTCGTCAGCTCAGTAGGTCTTCTAATTGACACATGTAATTAATGCAATTCAAATATGTGTTGGACACTATTTGGAAATTTTAAGAGCATTTTGAAAACGAACGAAAATGTACTTTTTCCATACCCCGTATGAAAGACATTTAGTCTCGTCCTCGAATATAAGGCCTATCCCATTTTGCGGAAGGAATCACACATTCAGCTTATATGTAGCGGCCGAATAAGGAGGAGCTCCGGAAAACTCGGGAAGACCTGAGTTGGAATGTGATGGCTTGCGGTCTTTCGTATGGGTATCTAAAGAAAACTCCTCTAAAAGTCGTGTAACTCCATCATACACACTAGCAAAGGAAAGGGGTGGAGTGGACATGATAGCGACGAATGAACTGATACAAAAGTTTATTAGTAAAACGTTGGTGACACGGTAGAAAAATAAGTTTAATGCGATCTATGGCGTAAGGTAAAAATAGTGGTACAGACTACTAATCAACTAAGAGAGTACAACTTAATCCTATGATTCGATAAAACGTGAAACACGGGAAAAGATTAGTTAATGGTGAAATAAACGAGGCGGAAAACGAATCGGCAGTTCAGGAATACGGAAACGATAAGGAAAAGGGGACTTAGCGGAGGGCGTGTCGACAGGCGTCAGCTCCGATCCACGTGACCCAAATTCTGAAAAAGGGGAGGCGGGAAGTAAAAAAAGGTCCGTTTAAAACAATCGGTCGTTACATCGCCCACCTCTTAAGGTACGGCACTGTCCTCAGTGCTGGTGGGGTCGATGGGGGAAGGGACGGAGACCTCGATGGCTACCGGGGGAACTAGGTCTAGGGGGATGACGGGTAGGGAATCGGGAGTGCAATTGGGTAGGCGCCCTCGGTAAGTTTGAGCTTAGAAAAGTGTGCCGTAAAGGAGGGGAAATCAGGGTGGACGGCGTCGCGTAACAGGAATGTGGTGGGGGCGAGCACGTCGAGTACGGTAAACGGTCCTTGCCATGGGTGGTGGAGTTTAGCGGAGTTGCCATGTGGGGGTACGGGGTTGTAATGCATCACCAGGTCGCCAACTTGGTGTGGGGTGCCAGCGGTGCGGCGGTCAAACTGCTCTTTTTGGTGCTGGGTAGCAACTCCCAATGCAACGCGGGCAGCGTTATGAGCTGAGCGTATGACCCCTCGGAGGTGCGTGGCGTACTCGTGTAGTGTTGACGGGTCGGGTGTGGGTAGGGGGTAGCGAAGGTCGGCCGGGAGGCGTAGGTCACGGCCAGTCCAGAGGTAGTGAGGTGTGAACCCTGTGAAAGAATGTACTGTTCCGCGATAAGCTAGCAGGCACAGAGGTAGATGTGCGTCCCAGTCGTGCTCGTGCCCGTCCCGTGAGAATGCCAGTAAGAGGTCGTGCAGCGTGCGGTTGGTCCTCTCTACAAGGCCGTTGCCTTCGGGGTGGTACGGGGTAGTTCGGGTTTTGCGGATCTCTAGGATCTCGCAGACGTCTTGTAGGAGCTGGGACTGAAAATTAGCGCCGCAGTCGGAATGGAATAACAAGGGGGCGCCCCAACGGCTAATCCAAGTGCGGCTAATGGCGTTTGCGATTGATGCCGCGTCCTGGCGGAGGAGTGGCACTGCTTCCACCCACTTGGTGAAATAGTCCACCATGACTAATACATACTCAAACCCGCGCACCGATATCGGAAGGGGTCCTACAATGTCCAGGCCGACACGCTCTCCCGGAAAGCCAGTGGTCATAGGTTGCAGCGGGGCACGCGGTGAGGGGGAGGGGGGTTTGAACGTAGCGCATGTGTTGCAGGACTGACAGAAGCGTTGTACGGCCGAACGTAGTTGAGGCCACCAGAAGCGGCTGCGAGCAGCGAGTTCCGTGCGGCGTTGGCCGCTGTGCCCGAGCTGTGTGTGGAGGTCAGTGAGTACGGACTCTACTAAGCATCCGGGAACTACGGGACGTAGCCGGTTGGAAGTGGGGTCGCGGAGAAACAATATGTCATTCTCTACGGTGAGGTAGGGCCACTGGTTGAGCAATAGGCGGGCACTCTGGCTGGCGCCTCTCATTTCCCGCTCGGTAGGTTTGGGAAGCCTTAGACTCATGTGGCGGTAAATAGTGGCCGTGTCCGAGTCCGTTTTTTGCGCTGTTGCCCATTCGTGGCGTGTCGGCTCCGACACGACAATAGCGTTAACGCCGGCTGTCTGTATATCGGGTTCTGCGTCAGTGACGTGGGGCAAGCGGGAAAGGGCATCTGCGTTGCCATGCTTGTGGCCCGGGCGGTATTGGCATTCAAAGTCAAAATCCTGAAGGAACTCCTGCCAGCGTGCCAGCTGGTCCATGGGGTCCTTGAAGGACCGCAGCCACTGCAGGGCCCTGTGGTCTGTGCGGAGAACGAAACGTCGTCCGACCAGCAGGTGTTTGAATCGACGCAGGAACACAACGATCGCCAGGAGTTCGCGACGGAAGGTACAATAATTCCTCTGTGGTTTAGTGAGGGTATTGCTTGCGAAGCAGATCGGGTGCTCTACTCCATTCGCGTCAGCTTGGGAGAGTACGGCGCCGATGGCGTACCCACTGGCATCAGTGTCTTATATGAATGGGGGTGCGTCGTTGTCAACGTTTGGGAGGGCAAGTAGGGGAGCCGAGCACAGGGCGGCGCGGAGGTCGGTGAACGCACGTGCGCAGTCGTCCGACCAGACGAAGGGTCTGCCTTTCTCCGTGAGTTTGTGCAGGGGGTTGGCGATATGAGCAAAACCACGGATGAAACGACGGTAATATGATGCTAACCCCAAGAAACTGCGTAATTCCGTTTGGTTGGAGGGGGTTGGCCACGTGCGGATGCATTGTACGCGGTCAGGCAGGGGGGAGATGCGCCCGGGAGAGATTAAGTGACCCAAAAAGTTTACCTCGCGGCGTAAAAAAAGGCACTTCGTGGGGTTAAGGGTCAGACCAGCGGAGCGGAGGGCTTCCAATACCGCACGCAAATTGTGATTGTGTTCGTCAATAGACCTCCCAAACACTATAATGTCGTCGAGGTAGACGAGACACTTGCCTGGAATGAGGGGTTGAAGAACGCGATACATAAGACGTTGGAAAGTGGCGGCTGCGTTGCACAGGCCAAACGGAAGGGTCTGGAACTCATACAGACCTTGGGGTACCGTGAACGCGGTTTTATGGCGGTCGTCTGGATGAATCTCAACCTGCCAATAACCGGATTTGAGGTCTAGTGTCGAGAACCATGCCGCATTTCCTAGGGCGTCTAGGGTGTCGTCTAACCGCGGGAGCGGGAAGGAATCACGAACTGTCACGGCGTTAAGGCGACGATAATCGACACACAGCCGGACGGATCCGTCCTTCTTGGGGACGAGGGCTATGGGAGAAGCCCATGGGGACGACGAAGGCTGGATTATTTTAGCCTGCAGCAGTTCATCTAATAGCTTATTGACTTCTTCGCGGTAGCGCAATGGGATGCGGCGTGGGGGTTGCCACACGGGCTTGGCGTCTCCCGTGTCGATCGTGTGCTGAATCAAGTGGGTGCGCCCGATGGTGTCGGTGGACGAGGCGAAAAGGTCTGGGAAGGAGTTCAGGAGGGTCTTAAGCTGCTCGTGCGCGACCGGACCGATTAGGGAGGGGGGGGGAGAACGGTATCTAAGGGGGTAGGCTCTAGCGCTACGGCGGAAAGTACTGAGTTGTACATGATGTCGAGATCGTCTATAGTGGCTGGAGAGGCGGGTGCGGTGGTGTTACGGCCGAGTGTGAGTTGTCGTTCGCGGAGATGGACTACGCAATCGTGAGCCTCTAGGAAATCAAGGCCGAGAACGATAGGCCAGGGGCCATCAGGGGTAACAAGAAACCTATGGGCGATACGCGCGTTTTCGATCATAAGCTGTAGCGAAACAGTGGCCGATACGGGTATCGCCGTGCCGTTGGCGGCGCGGAGGGAGCGGGGAGCCGGAAGTGGGTCCACGTGACGCAGTAGGTGGTTGGGAAGTTTGTGGATGGTGACAAGTGACACATTTGCGCCCGTGTCTACTAAAGCCCGAGTGGGGTGACTATCCACACGTACCGGCACAGTAAAAGCAGGGACAGAAAAAAAATCGTGAAAGTAAATAGCGTCAATGGGGGTGGACTCACAGGGTGGGTTGTGGCCGCAGTGGCGAGCTCGTGGTCCGAAAGCCGCGCAGTACTGGCAGCCAGGGTTGTGGTCAGGGAATCGGACCGGCAAAGTGCTCCGTCTATCTGGGGTTTGGGGCTCCGGTCGGGCTGGGGGTAAAGGGGGTCTCGGAGGGAGTTGTTGGGTTCGGTGATATGTAAGATAAAGACGGCACTGCCGCAAGGCGTCGTTCAAAGTACGCGGGGGGTGGAGGAGAAAGGAGTCGGTGATCGTGCGATCGAAGAGGCCTGAAATGAAACGGTGGAGGGTGAGGTCGTCACGATCGGTTTGGGGTAAATTGAGGAAGGCCGCGGAGGCAAGTCGGGTGAGTTCCGTCGCAAAGTCGTCAACCGATTGCCGGGGGGCCTGGCGTAACTTGGCAAATTGCTCTGCCGCGATGCCAGGCGCGTCAGGGGTGTCGAACAGCTGCACGACGCAACGGCAGGCGACGGGAAAGGGAGTAGCTGGTGTAATGCCGGCATCGAAGGCGCGTCGCCTGGCAGATGGGGAAAGGAAACGTAGTAAGAAACACGTATGTTGATGGGGTGGAACGTCAGTCAAGAAAAGATCTAAGTCACGCAGCCAATCACGGATGTTGTGTCCGGGTTCATAGGCGTCTGGGGCTAACAGGGGGCTGGGCGCTGATATGTAAAGACGGTCGGTGGGAAGGGCCACTGGAGTAGGGTGGGGAAAGGGTGGATCAACGAAAGGGTTCGTGGGCGAAGTAGCTGCCACCAATGTAGCGGCCGAATAAGGAGGAGCTCCGGAAAACTCGGGAAGACCTGAGTTGGAATGTGATGGCTTGCGGTCTTTCGTATGGGTATCTAAAGAAAACTCCTCTAAAAGTCGTGTAACTCCATCATACACACTAGCAAAGGAAAGGGGTGGAGTGGACATGATAGCGACGAATGAACTGATACAAAAGTTTATTAGTAAAACGTTGGTGACACGGTAGAAAAATAAGTTTAATGCGATCTATGGCGTAAGGTAAAAATAGTGGTACAGACTACTAATCAACTAAGAGAGTACAACTTAATCCTATGATTCGATAAAACGTGAAACACGGGAAAAGATTAGTTAATGGTGAAATAAACGAGGCGGAAAACGAATCGGCAGTTCAGGAATACGGAAACGATAAGGAAAAGGGGACTTAGCGGAGGGCGTGTCGACAGGCGTCAGCTCCGATCCACGTGACCCAAATTCTGAAAAGGGGAGGCGGGAAGTAAAAAAGGTCCGTTTAAAACAATCGGTCGTTACATATACACAAGCACGGCCAGTCTACATCATTTGACGACGTTCGGCCAATGAACACTCTCCAACAGTTTCGAAAATCTTAGAGGCATCGATCATGTGTCATTTAACAGAGAATAACCCGCTGAATGCTGTCCAGCATGGATTAAATTTTAAATATCCGGTTTGCTTCGCTGTCTCCTGATAAGGTAGCATTTGTTTTATTCTTGCATGAATTTCTAACTCCTTTCTTGTTTTGAAGAGCCCAGTCGGTAAGCACGTGATTTCTGCAATTTTTCGTCAGGCAAATACAGTTACATGGAAAGATGAAAATATGCAAAATTAACAGATTTTCTACGTGTCCTAAGGGTTATTACGCCATTAACACTCATATTTCCCACTCCGCCCATACGACGAAGTCGGCGTGTTTTAGTCTTCAAGGTTAGGGGAGGGTGTAAAAGAGTCTTTGAGTTGTGTTTATGGACTGAGTACACGGAATTCCCTCACTGTCATCCGGGATTTGATGCGGCATGTCGTCATCCCATGAAGTTCCCGTTGTAAGTATGTATGTATTGAAGGGTTATAGGCAGAACCTTTGATGACCCTATTTATGTACAGTGCTTTCGCAGATTCATACTCAAAAATAAAATAAAATTGCAGGTATTTAAAGTGTGATTTGGTCACAGTTCAATCGTAATCATAAAGTAGTGCATAGGGTCACTGTAAATTAGTGCGGAAGATTGTATATGACAGATTTTACAAAACTGGCTGTGCATAGTCATGCTGTACAAGCTGATTTCTGTCGAAAACTAGACGAGCAAGTTTTCTTTTAAACACACAAACTGTGTCAGCCGTCACCATCACGCTTGAAAGCGAGTTCCACGGCCTGACAACCCGTTGGCTGATTGAAAATTTTCGTCGGTCTAAACGCGTGCGCTCATTCCCGACTTTGCATGCATGGCCGCGTAGTTGGTTTGTACGTGCGAACTCAAAGAAGTCCTCTGCTCTTAATGAGCAACCCTGGCAGCGAACAATCCGGAACGTCCAGAGTAGACTGCAGTTTATTTGTCTATAAGAAAGGGTGAATAAGACAAGCAAATTCAGCCTCTCCTGATAAGAAAAATGCTTTAGACCGTTGACCATCTTTGTCGCTCTGCGTTGCACCTGTTCGAGTAAGTTGATATCCTTCCTCATCCATGGTGAAGCTGCTGGCATTCCATGCTCTAGATGAGGTCTTACAAAGACACCAAAGAGTCTTTCGAAGAGTTCGGGAGGAAATATTTAAATGCACATCTGATCCAGTGTAGAGTACTAGTTGCCTTCTGGACCATCTTTCTGCAGTGTTCTGATGGCGATAGATTTGTGGTCGTCCATACACCCAGATCTCTGTGTCTTTCCACAGTTTCTAACCTCGTCGCGTCAATATAGTACTGGCGTTTGACAGAGGCATTGCGGCCGGTGTTCAGGTGCAAGACCACGCATTTGGACACGTTAAACTTCAAAAGCCACCTGTTCGACCAAGCACACAGTGTGTCGATGTTCGACTGCAACTCCTCTGCGTCATCATCACACTTGACTTCACTCCATATTTTTATGTCATCCGCGAACATGAGAGCCTCGCAAATCACTTCGCTGATGCAGTCATTAACATAAATCAGGAAGAGTACTGGGCCTAAGACAGAACCCTGTGGGACACCACTTTCCACTTTTACCCATTCCGAGGTAGAATTACTAACGACGACTCTTTGTAGTCTGGAGGACAGAAAACTCCTGATCCACTTAAACATTCTTCCTTGAATCCCAACATCCCAGATCTTCTGTAAAAGAAGCCTGTGTGGGACACTGTCAAGGCCTTCTTGAAGTCAAAAAATATGACATCTACAGGAAAACCCGTATCGGTAGCTCGTGTCCATTTCTCGTGCGAGTAAAGAACACTCGTTAGGCAGGAGCGCCCTGAACGAAAGCCATGTTGGGCATCACACAATATTTTGTTCTGTTCCAGGTATTTCATCAAGTGTCTTTTGATAATGCGCTCCATTATTTTACACGCGATGCAAGTAAGACTGACGGGACGATAATTTCCGCAGTCAAGTCTTGAGCCTCCTTTATGGATCGGAGTGACGAGTGCGCACTTCCATTCTTCCGATGGCTCGCCGTCTTCAAATGACTTTTGAAATATTGCGGATAATGGTTCGCACAGCTCATTAGCAAGTTCACGAAGTGCTAGTGCAGGAATTCTATCTGGTCCAGGCGAGTTGGCAGGTCTCAACCGGAATAGCTCGGCCCTAACTATGGTAGATGAAAAGAGTGGTTCCTCGGTTAAGGAGGGTAGGGAGGGGATAGAATGGGGAAGGGTACTGAGAGGAGAGGTTGCTTGGCGAATGGATGGATGGGCAAATATAGAACTAGGTTCTCGGGTGAAGACGGACTGAAAGAAGTCGGAAAGGAGGGACGCTTTAACCTGGTCATCAGTCTCCACTTATCCATCTGCAGACCTAAGGGCAGGGATCAGCTCCTGAGTTCTTTTAGTACTTCGTATATAACCACATAGAATTTTCGGATACTCCAACGAATTTCGGAGTATGTTCAGTTCAAACTTCTTTCGCAGCTTTGAGGCCTCACTTTTACAAACGTTTCGTTGCCGCTTATATTCCTGTAAGTGTTCGTCGGAGCCAGTTAGTCTGTAACGCCTCCACAGACGATTCCTTTTTCTGAAAGAGGCCTTTAAGTCCGGGTTTATCCATTTTGGGCGGTTTGTAATTTTCTTTTTTCTGAGAGAACAATTGGAATAAACAACCTCTTTCAGTAAGGAACTGAAAGTATTCCAGTTGTCGTTTGCTCGACCATGCAGTTCAGTCTCCCATGATATAGCTGCCGCTTCTCTCCTCATGAGAAAATAGTCCCCCTTCCTCCCCCATAGCGACAATTTTCGCGGTTTTTGATGTCGTCTCCCGCATTCCGACCTCATACGGTCTGTCGACGCTCACATCGGAACCATCAGCATTCACCGTCTACTAGTAGATTGGTCGTACCTCCCTTCCCCACTGCTCGGCTGAGCTCGAAGCGTGCTGTGGCCGATCGCATCTGGGTTTCTCTCGTCTGGCCTCTTTGACGCGAATAATCTCATGCGGCGTATCAATCCGGCCCAGACGATCTCAATTGTGAATCCCGTATACAATGCCGGATGCAAGCCAGTCCTGTCTGACCCGCATACGTACCCCTCAAGGCTGAGATTTATCGCTACCCTGACGATGACCGACAACATCCCGTTATATACCGCCACCTACAGGCCAGTCCTGCTCGCTTTTTTCTGTAATTATTTTTATTGAGGGTTTTTTTCTCCTGTAAAATTCATCCAATCATTTTTAACTTTTTGTAAGGAGTTTTTTTAACCCCTCCATCATCATGTTTCTCAATGGACTACTAATTCAGAAACTATAAATTGCATTTTGTAAAGATTCGGCCTACCTCGTCTAAAACTCGCATAAAAATGTATTTTAACATGCTTTGATGGGACTCCGACGGGTCTTTAATGAAAAATTATCTATTTATCTATTATATAAGAGCTTAGTACACTTGGCTTCTGTTCCTTTAATTCTGGCTGCTTCTACGTAGTCTTTGAATGCCAATCTTTCGTGGTTTTCCATGCAGTTAAAGGCCATTGTTCTCTGACACAAGTTCCGGTGGAGTTCTTTACTTCCGATACTAACTGTCTCAGGGTAGTTTTCTTCATTTCGTTTTGGTACAGTTGAGGCTGCGACAGTATGGTTTCTCCATTTAACACGTTTTTTTCGACTGATTCATTTGTATTTTGTGGATTGCCGTAATTTCCTTTGATAGTTAAACCAACCTTTTTATAAATCACCATCGGATATTTATTATTCAGGTAACGTTGCATTTAATACTGATATCCTAGCACAAAATTACGCATGGCAAAAGCAAAATATAACAATAGAGATATTTACCTATTAGTCACAGCCCTAATGTGGCCTTTTGGCCTGGCAGGTGCACTGCCCACTGTCCCAGTATCTAACACGAACGACTGACTACGGACAGTTTCCTTGATCAGATAAACTGCTGGAGAGCTGCCCGCCCATTAATCCTTGGGACTACAGATAAACCAAATTTGACAAACTCTCCTGGCTAACGGCATCATTATATGAACAACTCCTTATTGCAGACGGCGTTATTGTCGGTTAGGAACAACCTGTCATCGTGTAGCACCAAAACTGGCTGCTTGCGTCCTGCTCCAGCGTGTGCGCACAGCATGTTGCGATCCCATCTCATAACGCAGAGCGTAACCACTGAGCCATCGCCGACGACTCCTTCGACACTTTCGCCCATCCCTTCATGTTAGGACGTCGACAGGAAGTGGGAACAAAAAGGAGTACCGTTTGTGATTTTTTTCGGCGAAATCTCCTTAATTACGAATCAATGCACTAAAGCGCCTTTGTCCACAATTTTTGAGTTTCTCCATATTGCGGTCTATGCGCTTGATTGCTCCTCGTTACTCGTATGATCCAGTGAATGGAGGCAGTTTGTCTTCCAGAACCACGTCTGATAAGAAACCAGTAACCGGTTGTTGGTCAGGGCTTTCATAAACCTCAGGAACCTCAAATGCTTCTCTAGTATTTAATCGTCTCCAGCCCATCATAGAGAACTGAGTG